TATAAATAATGTTATATATGTTATATATATAACCAGCTGGCATTCTGGGCACAACACGCACCTGTGGCACACATCACCCCAAATGCCCGGTCAATAGAATCGGGCCATTATACGCTCCAGAGTGTTCTCGCATCCTAAATGCCTTGCCATGGGGTTTGAATGAGCCTCCTGGAAAATCGTTTCCTGGCAGCTTTGCGACACCAACAACTGGGTAGGGATTTCATTCGTGCGAGTGTTGTGACTCACTCAATAAAGCCGATCATTCCGTAATCGGAAGTGGGGCCATCAATATCTATCACCTGGTCGTAGGCTGAGCCTAGGGTGTCGTCCCAAGACTGCTATAGTGGAAAATCTTCCATGGAGTCCATAACGGGAGGCAGTTGGGCCTCCGTAGAGGTCCCCGCCGCCTCCTTCCCCCCAGAGTCAGTGTCGGTCGACCCCGCGTCACTGCAGACATTACATCAATTTATAGGTTGCGATTGCATCTCCACGTATTGCCCCAGGAATCTGTGAAACCCCGGCCAATTTGTGCCCAAAATTAGGGGATGTGACAGGCGCGGACTGACCGCCGCCTTTACTCTAAGTGTTTTGCCCCTAAATTTTAACAGCAGCGACACTACCGGATACTTGTGAATATCCCCGTGCACACATTTCACCTCCAGCCACTCTGCCTCCAGCAATGCCCTGGCCGAACCAGAATTTGGTGAACCAGGGTCTGCATGCAGCCCGTGTCCACCAAAGTGTGGCGTATACCCCTTGACACCTTACCGGGATGCGGTACGTCCCTCCTGGACCGGGGGCGGGTGCCGGAGCCCCGGCGACGTGGAACACCTGGCCCACTTCCATCAGTCTTATATTACATTTTTAATAAAGGTGCTGCTAATGAGCAGACTCTAAATCAGGATGAAGTTCAGCAGCAAGTGTACTCCCCTCTTCTTCATGGTTAGTTTTTCATGTAGTTTCAAATATTCTGATGCTATTTGCAACAAGACTATACTTAGTACATCTGCTGCAGCTTTTCATATAAATGTTATTCAATAATATTTGTTTTTAAATTAGGTTCACAGACTTGAGCTGACTGATTTTCTCTGACCTGCAGGTGATCTTTGTGTCTATGAGACAGTCAGAAGATGTGAAAACACTGAAAATGGTAAAGTATACACTTTCATTAATATAAAGCTTGTGGAAGCTGAATGATTATACAATAACTGTGTTTAACATGAAAGTCAATAAGATTATTATTTCAGGTCCAGCAGAAGGTGATTTCACCAATGTCACATCCGTGATTCAGCTCAAAGTCATTAGGAAGACAAGTGAGTGCACAAAATTTAAAATTTAAATGCAAAATATACATTGGTAATTATTCTCACTGATAGGTTTTATTTGATGTAACGGTTTTCCAAAACAGTTTTTTATTTTGATGTAATGAAAAAAACAATGCATTTGAACGGGTAAAAACAAAGCTGAAAAGTAAGAAAACAAACAAACAATAAAAAAACAACAACAAAGCTAAAAAGTAAGAAAAAACAAAAAAACAAAAAAAAAACATTGAGAAAATAATAGGGAAGGGAGCAAAAACAATTACTAGGAGAGCCACAATGTGTAATTCTCGTCGAGCACTTTATGAATTACAGTCCTGGTCATCTCAGTGACGCTGGCGTCAGTTTCTTGCAGCGTGGCCTCAATGTCGCGGGCGTCTCTGAGTTCAAACAGATATGCCTGGGCAACGCCTCTGACTTGAGCCGCTGGTGGTGAAAAACCCTCTAACCGCAAAATTTGCAATAATTTGTTGGTGAAATGCCCATTCCATAATCTTTTGCAGAGTTCATCATAGTACCTGAAAAAGTAATATTTTTCCAGCGGGAAAAGACAAGAATGTCGTCTCTGCGAGGGGTGGGAAACCTCACATCCTTGACAGACTTCTTGCCAGTGTTTCTGGATTAGCGAGTTAATAAGGTACTTGACAGTTAATTTTGTAAGTTAAAAAACAGTGGTGGGGAGCAGACTCGCCGCCTTGTCGTTGTCCATGGCCGAAGGCTGTCCGCGGCTCTTGCCGGAGTGGGGATCGATGTCTTCAGGCTCTCGGAAAAGGGCCCGGCATACAGGGTCGCCCAAAGCCCAGAGCGAGGCACCAGAGACTGAAGTGTTGCCGGGGGGTCTGGTCTGGGGATTGCCAGAAGTAATATTTTTCCAGCGGGAAAAGACAACTCACCCAGCCATCGGCGAGTTGCAGATGGCTGGGTGAGTTCCAGCCTTGAGGGGATGAGGGCGGCGGCAGAGTATCTGGAAGCATAGTGGCCGGAGACGTTGAGGCCAGATGCGGGCTCTGAGGTGGGGTAGCCAGAGCCATCGGTGGACTCGGTTGTGGAGTAGAATCAGCTGGAGATGCAACAGAGGGGGCTCCGAAGCTATGGTGAGTCATGATTGTTTAGATGATGTGGAGAATGTGGAATCTCTCCTCCATTGGATTAGCATGGGCTGGCTGAACCCTACAAAGATGCAATCGTGTGAGTTCTGTTGGCATGGCGGAGGCTCTGTAGCTAGTTACTGGGGTCTGAGAGACCACAGTGAGGTTGGCAGGTCTGGTGTCCATGTTGTTTTAAGAAAAAGAGAGAAAAGTCTTTTTTTCTGGGAGAAAAAAAAGAGTTAAATTTAAGCCGAAAAGTTAGATTATTTATCCTGAACGAGAGCAAGAGATTGCACCTATCGCAGATAAGGTAAATCAGACCTGTATCCGATTGGCTAACCAGGGTGCGGCGGTAGCCGCCCACTTGTTATGTGATTGGCAGCGGGGCGAAGTTAGGCACGCCTCGGAGGCGGAGTTGGTCTCCCTCTTTGAACGAAGAGCCAAAATCATTAAGGAGCAGATACAGAGCAAGTAACAAGGGGAAAAAATTGTGCGCTGGCTGCGGCTTGGTGCGAGTAAGAGGGACGGAGAACTTAGGCTGTGCGCTGAATTTGAGACGGAGCTAGTAAGAGGGCTGGTTTGAAGAAAAAAGACTAAGGATTTTTTTCAGGAGTATTGCCTGTTATCGAATATAAGGTTTTGGGAATAGAGGGTTCCCTAACAAGTTATTCTAGGAGTTTTTTGTTGCGCGTATTTGGATAAAAACACGGAGGTTTTTTTCAGGAGGTTTCCTGCTTGTTTGCCTAAGGGTTGGGTGGGAGCCGCAGTGCGCTGAATTTGAGAAAAAAGACTAAGGATTTTTTAAGGGTTTTGGGAATAGAGTGGGAGTGCCTATCGAGTTATTCTAGGTTTTTTTTGTTGTTGTGCGTTTTTTGGAGAAAGACGGAGGATTTTTCAGGAGGTTTTTGCTGGGAGCCGCAGCGCGCTTATGCTTGGGGTAGTTTTTCGGGGATCGTGAGAGTTTTTTGCGACTCGGACTTTGATTCTAAATCTCCTTGTTCGGATTAAACAAATGCAAATAAATTGAAATAAAGTTTTCCAACGAGGCATGCAACCTGTATCTCCCGGCATACTGAACTAGGGCTGCCACAAATGATTGTTTTGATAGTCACCGATTATTTTTGCAATTAGTCGACTAATCAGATCATGCATCCATTGGACGTAAAATGTACAGCTTATTGCACCGGCATACATCTGCTCTTATATAACTATCATTAGCTTACAGCTTTAAGTGTTTAAGGTATGTGCTAACTAAAAATAAAGACAAGATGATAGTTTATTAAATTTTAATGAAATTTGCAGATTGTTTCGGTGAAGTTTAATAAACTCCTTGCTATCTAAAATATAACAGGACACCGGAGTATATTCTCGAGCATCTCACACTTCTGATAATCAGCTGTCTGCTTGACGTTTATTCAGCTGTGTAAAAACTATAACTTTAATCTCAGCCAAACCGATTTACTCAGGAACAAATAAAATACTAAAAAAAAGCCAAACAATAACATTTTTAAGTTATCTAAGTGACTTATATATATGTTTAACCTGAGTAGCGAAAGACGGCGGTGGGTTTGAAAACGATTTGCCGGGAGTCCGGTGTTCTCACGGCTCTAGTGAGCTTGCCCCCGGCTAGCTATCGAGCTAGTGGGTAACAGACGTCGGAGCGCTTTTGAAAATATGTGGTGTCTTGATAAACTGAGCAGATATTTGAGGTTTACACAGCTACATTCTCGCCTGAAAATATGTTAAACGTTTATTTTGTGACCCAGAAAGAATAATAAGAGTAATATTAAAACTAACTAGCTGCCGCCATTGTTGGAAACTGAGCTGGGCTGCGCTATGAATTCTGGGACACAGCTTCTTCTTCTTCGGGGTTTAACGGCAGCTGGCATCCTTGTACATGCAGTGCTGCCATCTTCTGTTTCAGTCCGTTATTACACTCTTAAATCCTACTACTTATTCCTGCGTCTTTTGTGATCTTACAAAGCTTCAAACGACGCGTCGACTATTAAATCAGTCGTCGGCGATTTTGATAGTCGACGTAATTGTGACTAGTCGACTAATCTTGGCAGCCCTATACTGAACGTTACAAAAGCACAAGTTTAACTAAGCACTTTTACTCTGGTTTAAGACATTTTCACACACACACACACACAAGCACGGACCCTGACACAGGCGCGCGCATGGGCGCGCACAGACACACAGGCGCGGGGCGCGCACGCGCGCGCACATGCACTGACCCACCACCAGATGGCGATTTTTAAGCATAAAAAGTAAAAAACTTTTTAATGGCTTAAAATTAAAGAATGCTACTTGATATAAAAGCTTTATTTTTTAATAATCAAATAATTTTTTTTACTTTTTTGGAAATAATGAGTTATGAACTACCATAATTTGCTGAATATCATAATTTGCTGAATATCATAATTATATTAATATCCAGAGGTGGGTAGTAACGAGTTACATTTACTCCGTTACATTTACTTGAGTAAGTTTTTGAAAAAAAATTACTTTTAAAGTACCTTTTTTGCATGATACTTTTTACTTTTACTTGAGTACATTTGTGAAGAAGAAACGGTACTTTTACTCCGCTACATTTGCAAAATTCGACTCGTTACTTTTTAAAAAATGATTAGTTTAACACATTAGATAACATGCCGCCAGTGGAGTTTCCGGTAACTTTTTTACCAATCAGATGTGGCTATGCAGTCACATGACCAGTTTGAAACTGTGGCGGGCAGAGCAGCCCAAACGTTTCAAAGAAGAAACATGAAAACATGGCAGAGCCAGTCGTCTATGCTAGAGCTGAAAAGGATGAACACCCTTGGCCTCATATACAAAGAATGTTTCGCATAAAAGCAGTACAAAAGAACAGCTATGTCTTCAGTGTCGGTGACTTCAGTGAGAGCCAAAACAACAACTTTTCAGCGCGAAACAACTCAACTCATGTAACCTGAGGAAGCGGTAAGTTTTCTCTAAATATCTTTTTAGCTGTAGTTAGCTGGATGTCAGTCTTATGTTACAGCAGCTGTGTTGAGCTCGAGCTGCGAGTCATATTTTCGGCGCTACGTTGTAGTGAGACAAATTTGTGGGTTTTTTGTGCAGCTTCGGCTGTCCTTTTAACTGCTCGCTGGTTAGCTAGTGTGAGCTATAAGCTAACAGCTCACCTAGTTAATGACGCTGGAGTTCCACGCGCATGCAAACAGCTCGTCTCTACTGCTTTAACTGTTAAAACAGAAGGCAATACTGCGGCTAGCAGGATTTATTATGTGAAAAAGCAGCTTGTTTAGTTTAAACAGTCTGCATTAAGCTGGGCAAACACTGTGCGATTTTTTTCAGTCACGTTATTCAGCTCCTGCTCAAACTGTACAATTGAATCGCAGGGGTTAGAAGTTCATAGGTCACGATGCAGGGTCTCACACTATACGGCCTGATGCTCTGATGCGACCTGAGTGCTCAAACTGTGCGTCCATAACATGAAGCTTATCATACAAAATCTGTCTCTCACTCTCCCTCTCTCTGTCTTACAGACACACACACACCACCACCATCAACTTTGCTAAATTACTAATGGAAAACATTGACCAGGCAGCTGCAATTGAGCAGCAATGTCCATCCAACTCTTTTCATGGTTGTTGTAGTCGTCACAATTTTGTGAGGCCACATTGCAAAGCCTCGGATACAGAAGCGTAGAGCTGCCACCCAGGCAAAAGAAAAATAGAAAAGTGAAAAGTTCTAACAATATACTTTTCATGTTTGTACAATATACTATCATGTTAGTACAATATACCTTTCACGTTTGAACAATATAATATCACGTTATTACAATATACATAATTATCATGTTCGTACAATATAAATATTATATAGGCTACATCGCAGCTCCAGTCACGCTTCCATCAAGTCTTT